TTAATACTACAGGTGTTCACATTTTACTGAGGTATCATGAGTCTACAGAGGTGTCATGTCTCTACACAGGGTTTTATGATTACATCAGGAGTGTATTACATATTACAGAGGGTGTCAATATACAGCAAGGTGTGTCACACAACAGAAAGTGTCATGATTGTACCAGAAGTGTCATGATACTTGTGGCATGACAACAAGAGGTGTCATACTTTAGATGGTCACATGGTGCTCCAGATGGTGTCAGTACTCATGATACTGATGAGGGTGTCATGACTATACGCAGCAGTGACACCAGTACACAAAAGATTCAAAGTCCTTTTACGAACACTTCAGTGACTTTGTCCACAGGTAGAAAAGCTGGGTTTTGTGTTCAAAACTGAAAATCCACATCCAGACGTCCATGACTAATATATTTTTGACATTTTGACCCCAAAAATAGTTTGAATGCTTGTGTCCAACTCTGCAATGATGCTACTGGGGATGTAGATGAGTAAGTATGGTTTTATGCTCCTTCTGGCAATATTACAGCAAATATCATGTTGGGGACACCACTGATAGACTTTACACATTGTACCCATGTGGGGAATCGAACCAGGGTCTTCAGTGTGTCAACCCAAGGTTTTATCCACTAGGCTACCCATCCCCAGAATGAAATGACAATGCTCATGATACTGGAAGAGCTATGTAAAGGAAGAAAATACATTAAGGTGTGTTCCATTAGGCCTATTGAAATTTCTAATGAACAGACCACTGTAAATGTCTAATGCAGAAAATTTAAAAAGACCAAACGACCCAGTCTGAGAACAATAGGTGCAGCTTTCAGGGATGGCTTGTCTAGATACACAGATATTGAAGTCACTTGGTTAGTCATTGTTGGCCTACTTCATGGGATAGGTGGAAACGACTGACTGATGTGCTACTTTCAGCATGCTCTTTACTTGTCACTAGAGTGCTATATGTCCATTTGGATATCGTCACCGTCCATCATTGTTTATTTTGAACATACTCGTATAAAACATACTTTCAATATACACGATGTCATCACAATACAGACACAAATTAAATCACGAAGTACACAATGCCATTTTAGAAAGTTGTCAAATGTACCATATGTTATATTTGGGATTACACTTTCTTAGTAAAGTACAGATTCTAGTATGATGTCTTTCAGTGGCATTTAGAAGTTGATGTCCAAGATATTTTTATGGATTAAACTTCTTTTTTATTTCTCTCCACGGATTAAATTCTTTTCAGGTGAACTGGCAGTTCTCTCACGCACCTAACTGCCAGTTCACCTGATGAAGGGACCTGGAATGGTCTCGAAACGTCGTGAGAGAAATTAAAAAGAAGTTTAATCCATAAAAATATCTTGGACAGATTCTAGTACTTTTGTTGGGTTGAGTCCCATCCAGGATTCGAACCCACACCCTCAAATTCAGGCACCTAATCGCCAGCGCACAAAGTCAGACCGCTCAGCCACCGCGGCTTCCACAAAAATGGAAGTCAGACAACTGGTAGTCTAGACTGCAGACTTTGTGTACCCCTCTGATAAGTGTTAATTAAGAAAGTGTATTCCTAAATATAACATATGTTACATTTGACCACTTTCTAAAATGGCATTTTGTATTTCATAGCTTTCGGCCGTGGGAGCCGTGCCAATTAACACTTTTCAGAGGGGTACACAAAGTCTGCAGTCTAGACTACCAGTTCCATTTTTGTGGAAGCCGTGGTGGCTGAGTGTCTAGACGTCTGACTTTGTGTGCTGGCGATTAGGTGCCTGACTCTGAGGGTGTGGGTTCGAATCCCGGATGGGACTCAACCCAAAAAAAGTACTAGAATCTGTACTTTACTAAGAAAGTGTAATTGCAAATATAACGTATGTTACACAAATTAAATCCTTTTAGAAGACTGAAGGAACCCATGGGGATCAAAGCCATTTGTCAATCCATGACGATTACAAATAATCCGTACACATTCAGTGAAAACCAAACACTGTTGGTTCGCTTTCCAAATCTAGGCGTTCACTGCATCATTGTGCCCGGTATGGTGCGCCAGGCTTTTCAGATCACTTTGACTTCCTCGGATGATAAAAGAGACATCATGTGGCGGTGTGTGGTCCTGTGTGTAGAGCTCAGGTCACGAATCAGTTGAAGTTAAGCAACGTCGAGCTCAGAAAGTCCTTGAATGGGTGACCGTGTTTGGCAGCTTGACTCCTGAGAGTTTCTAGGATTTCAGTCCTGCCCCACTATGAAGCACATGTGAAACATGTGGTCTCACCGTAGGCAAGTGAGTTTGTTCACCATTGATCTGTTCACCCAGCAGAAAATGGGTAGTTGGTTTGGTTAAGTCATGTGACTATAACCTTCTAGCGCCTAACAGGCATCTTGGGTTATCCGGGTAACAATAATCAGATTCTGATTACAGCGTCCAGTGAGCAACTAGTCAGATGGATACTAGGCGCTATATAAATGAATTAATATTATTATTATATGTCAGCCATGTACTGTAAATGATTGTTTATGACAGACACAAGAAACATTGTTTTAAATATGTCACATTTATTTGTGTGAACCATATATTTGACATGAACATTAATTTTGAACTACATTGTGAACAGTGATGATACCTTTATGGTCCACTAGTGCTTTGAATAAGATTAAGGCACATGGTGGTTTCAGTAGTGAAGTTGTGAGCTGTTGATATTCATATCAACATGAATGCAACAAGAATACATCATGAATTCCATCACAACTGCATAGGCCGATGCCCGTGATTGTCTGGTGCTACTCCATTGTCTCATGCAGACCTGACTATTTGTAAATGTGCTCGTAAAATATACACAGATTCCTGAAATGTATTCAGCAACTTTAGGGGGAGTTACATTAGAATTGGCCCTAGGTAATCTATGCTGGTTAGAAGACCGGTGGGTGACTAAATACATGGTCAGGCATGGCATGGGGTATCGTTCATAATATCCATCACTGGTTTATCTAATCTGGTCTATCTTCAGAAAAAAAAAAGGAATTATATTAACAGAAATGTATTTGATCCTAAAGTGTTTATCACTAACACCTATGCCTTCATGATCTGATTTTCATTTTCTTCTGATCTGTAGTGACCGTATTGAGGGAGCTGGGTCTGATGTTTAGTATGGAAGTAGATTGTATAACTGCAGACCAAGCTTTTGTTCCCAGCATGCTGGAATGTTACTTAATAGTGACGAAGTTTGTGATCCTACATCAGTAGTCAGCAGCAATACTGGAGCAAATTGATGTTGCCAGAAATTGTGCCTTTTAGCATAGATAAGGATTGGTTTAAATGTGTCTTCCGTCAAGCTGTAGCAGACATGAGAAATAAAGGTTACAAGTCATTCTGAGTATTTTGACTAAAGCACACATAAAATCTGCCTGGTTACTCTTGAATTAGACTGTTGTTGATGTAATTCATCCTCTACACTTATGTTTCCTGTAGTACAGTGGTGAAGTAGAGGATGCTGGGGGAGTTATGTCCCTTTCCTGTTCTTGGCCATGTTTATGATTAGTCTCAGCATATCTATGGGGAATCACTTTCCACACATGAGGATGAGATGATGTTGATGGATTGTTGTTCAAAACAGCATCACAACCAACTCAAGGAATGTCTGCACATGTTGGAGTACACAAGTACACATGGTACTATTGTCATCAAAAAACATTACAGACTATTTGTTCATGGCGACGTCATTTCAACTGATGCCATACTCTATTATGGTTATCTGGGTCAAGTTGATTGACTAAATTGTGGTCTGTGAATTGGGCATACAAACTTTCTACCACTTCAGAAAGTGAGTGAGTGATTTGGGTTTTACTCCCCTTTTTGCAATATTCCAGCAATATTCCAGCAATATCACATCAATGGGATTCATCAAGGAAACCCGGAAGAAGCTTTAGCACAACTACCTGGGACTGTTCCACGCCCTTCACAAGTTGTCATAACAATCACTTGTAATATCATACATGGGGTAGAATCTTTTTTGGAACTACCCGGTAACATCCTTAAGGGTCCCTGGTAAGAATATCTCTCTACCACTGTGTTGTCTTTGATGCTGTGACTTGGCTGATATGGTGTCCTTGTACCTCCACCATCTGGGATATTGGTCATTATATCAGTTTCTGGTTACCCCAGCCCAGATTGTTGTGTCAAGTGGGCTATGGTCAGCTGAACTTACTAGACTGAAGAGAAGTTTACTTGACTCACCCTTCGGACTAGTGGCTAATTTCACAAACTGGTGTATGTTTAGAACCATGATATAAGTTGTGGAGGCTGATTGTGTGTGATCATATCCCGTCAACATTGGACACTGCTCTGTATATTTGTTAATGGTTTTGATGGTCCAGATTCAATTATTTACAGGACACTATGGAAGTAATATTGCTGACTGTAGCTAGAAACAACAAACAAATATAAACTCCAGTTCATTTGTTTCCATAGGAACACTGTTCAATAATTAATTGTAATCAATATATATTTATCTGGTGAATCAAGTATTCAACATGCTGAAAGTAATCTACCATGATTCATATCATTCTTGTTTAGAATTCTATTCTTTATTAAATGATCTTGTAAGTAGTCATTCAAAACAAATTCAGTTTTTTTCACTATTACAAAGCTACTTACACAATACAACACTATACCATTGCCTGCCATTCAGGAAATAAATGCAATTGTTTTCTCCAAACCATTGTTCAAGCCTCCGATATACAGATGTTACCAACGCAAGGCTTATCACTTATGTGCTTATTTAGATAAGCCGAGTTCAAGGTGCAGTCAGCCTGAATCAATTGTGGATCTGAAGCAATGTAAAAAACATAAACTGTATACTTTTTGTCGAGCACTTTCTCTGTAACTCCTTGACGTGGTATTATGTGTAAATCTCTAGGGTATAAGTACCTGTGTTAATGCAAGCGTGTATCCAGTTGGGGCTACAGCTATCAGTGAAATAAATAGGTATAGGATTAAGCTGGCAGTTGAACCTGATACACTTGTATTGTAGTGCGTCTCCACCTTAGTGATTGCTGATCTGCTTGCTGACTGAAGACTTCTTGGTTCCGAGGATTGTGTTTGAATAGAATGTGGATTAATCAAGATATGTTTTTGGTGTGATGAAGCAAGATGCCCAAGAAAAGTGTTCCACCTTTCCATAACTTCAGTCCATGTTACTCGCCCCGTCCAGCGCCACCAAGACCTAAGTTGTTTAAGGAAAACCGTCTAGAGTTGTGGGATATCATTAATGCTGGAAAACGAGGTATTGCTTTATGTCAGTTTTTATTCATTTGTCAATGTTTCATATATTTCAAATTCAGGACTGTAATTGAGTGTAATTATGTACTGCTCAAAAGAAGTCAAAGATCACCCATATTACTATAGTTTATCTAACACGTGATGATCCAGATTAAAATTTATCTTCAGTAACCCATGCTTGTCGTAAGGGGCAACTAACGGGATCGGGTGGTCAGGCTCGCTGACTTGGTTAACACATGTCGTCGGTTCCCAATTACGTAGATCAATGCTCATGCTGCTGATCACTGGATTGTCTGGTCCATACTCGATTATTTACAGACCGTCGCCATATAGCAGGAATATTGCTGAGTGCGGCGTAAAACTACAAATAAACCAACCAACTATAGAACTATATCCTGTCCAGATATCCTTTATCTTCTTTGACAGATTGATCAACACGAAAGTGTTGGGTTAAAAAAACCATTATGAATATCTTTACATCAAGAACATCTTCAAACTTCACTGTACATGATGGTTGCCGCTGAGTTGAGATTTACATGAATGGATTTTATTTTAAAAGAAGACAAATTCTCAAGTTTCTTCAATCTAATAGTGTAGTGTTTCAGTAATATACAGTCACTATTTTTCAGAATTGGATTACCACCATGATTTTCATCATATACTATAGTCTATTCAGTAATAGCTTGTCACTATCATTCAGTAATATGCTGTCATTATCATCAAATAATATATTGTCACTATCATTCACTAATCGATTGTCACTGTCATTCTTATCACCAATAATTTCAACATGCTGTCACAGGTGATTATTTAACCTTGACAAGCGGGAATCTATTACAGTACGTGTAAACCATTACACAGGACTGCATATTTAGGGATACTCTACCCCTAGACCAGACATGTTATATTCCTCTCAGATCATGCAATGTTGGCCCTTCATGCAGGGTATCACTTGTGAAGTCACAACCCACACCAGGGATCTAGGACGGCGCCGTTCTTGTGTGAGTTGTCATTTGGGGCAGGTTCTGTTTTATCCTATTATGTTGGACAGTACCTAATAAACTGGTTTATATAGCACTATTAGCAGTGACATTGCAGGACATGAATGTCCATTTAATTTCTATGTAAACATTGGAATGGGGGGCAATTTTTAAATATATTGTTTACACAGAAATATGCCCCAAATGAATTATTTGTTGGCTGTGGTGAACAATATGAATATGGAAAACACCCTGTTGTCAATAATGTGATGTTAGATCTTATATTAAAGGGGCAGCGGGGGTAGCCTAGTGGTTAAAGCGTTGGCTCGTCACGCCGAAGACCCGGGTTCGAATTCCCAAATGGGTACAATGTGTGAAGCCCATTTCTGGTGTCCCCCACCGTGATGATGCTGGCATATTGCTAATAGCGGCGTAAAAACAAACTCAGTCAGTCAGTCTTAAATTGAACATGAATACATTGGTTAGAGGTGTTCAGTAAATAGTCAGCTGGGGAGTACAATAGACTGTTCTCAAAACAAATTGTACCCCCTTCCTATATTAGTTATAAATCAGTTGGTTTGATGAAAACTGTCAGTTCATGGTTAATCTGTCAATGTCCAAGATATGAAATGAACTGTTCTGAGAGCCATCAATGTCCACACCAACTTATATCAACAGGTTAACAGCTTTGTGGTAGACAGTGCTAGACACTGATCAAGTTATGTGATAAATGTGGGAATATATTATTTTTACCATAATTGTCTTTAGACGTATTAGACAACTGTAATTATATTGGGACATTTGAACTCCACCCTGAATGTGTACAGCCTTACATTGAACATATAGTCATGAATAAGAGATTGATAGACTGACAGAAGTAAAATGTAAGTACAAATGTAATATCCAGAAGGTTCCCAGAGCAACTGTATATTAGTTCCAGGCTAGGGCCAAGGCAATCTAGATTTGAGCAATCGTTTTATACTTGAGCTGGACACTGGATATTTTAGTGAATCTGTAGGATCAAAAAGACTGATTATCATGATTATAGTCAAGCTTGAAAAGATGAGTTTAAAGAGCTGATAATAATCATACACTGACAAGACTTGGCTGTTGTCTATTGAGGTTTGAAGCAGGATGCTGTAGACAGGAATGTGGTGTGTCACGGTCTCCTGCATTATTGACAGTTTGGCCAGATCTGTTGTCAAGTTGTCCGTGGAGATACACATGTATTATTTATCAGGCTTTTAACAAACGTCACGACTACATGTGATCTGGTGTTTACATACAGCCTGGCAAGATCATCCATTAACACATCTAATAACCATTAATATCTGCAGCCAGTTATCACAGCTTCATAGTGTTCATCCACACTTGTGGATTAGGGGAAAAGGACATTTGGGTTTCACTGCCACTATATTCCACATATAATGTCCAAATAATTTGACCTATGACTGTTTGGTACTAGCATATTATTTGACCTCAAGACACCATGTGCAAGAGTCTCCCCATCCAACCAATGTACATGGGCAGCAGTTAACATCCATGTCCAATGTTAAATCTCATCAAACTATACCAAGGCTATATGGAAATGACTAAATATATCAATTACAAGATTAACATAGACTTATCACAAACCAAGGAGTGACACCTTCATGGACCAAAAACTGGCAAGACCATATGAATCAGAAGTTTAATGTGGAGTATCATATTCATGTTGTATCTCACTTTCTACATGTAGGAAACAATCCACCTACTCATCTGTTATGTTGATTATGTAAATGTTATATTCAAGTGAGCAACCTCCTTTACAAGATATTTAAGGTCCTAACCTAAACTGATGGTGCTTAAAAGGTTAACTTACTTCCATGTTTCTATTTTTAACGTTACGATAATCATGGTAATCACCTAAATGCTGCTGGATTGTTTTATTTGGGCCATAACCAAATCTGACAGACTAAGTATTAGGATCCCATAAATAGGAATATGGGGTCAACCAGTGTGAACCAAATTTAAATATACATCGATATTGTTTCTCTTTAACCCAGTGCCTATTATTCCCAACAAGTCTTAATATATATTTCTTGATGCCAACAAAACATTTGGAGTATATGGTAATTAAGGCCATTCACTCAAATGTTGTATTCATAATCTTGTACAAGGTTTCTTAAGTTACTATCGTGAGTAGAAATATTTTTAAACAGTTAGTAAAGACATTATATGACAAAGAATTTATATTCCCTCTAGTGATTCTGAATAATAAATTTCCATATGAGGACTGGAAAAAAGTGTATTGTCGTGATTGTACTGTATATCTGGCTCAATGTTCACATAATGCATTTTCAATATGGAACACTTCTGACTGCTAATTTTTAGATCACACATGACTTCAAGCAGGTCCATGCTACTTGAGGGAGCCATGTGATTATTCAAATGTATGCAGCGAGACCATAAGTACAAATTATGAATTCAACACAGACATTTGATAACCTATCACTTGCCTTTCAATTTCTACCACAACGTCCAATGTCAGTTACGTGAATATATGTCACAGGTTGAGATCATTGATAGCTTTCAATATCAGTCAATCTAGAAGGATTATGGATTCCATTCTGTGTCAGTGCTGACTCGGACTTCTTTTGGAATACGGAGAGGTCAACCAATGAAGGGTGTTGTAGTATATCGGTAGAGGGAGTTGTTAATGTGAATGTCTCCGCTGATCCGTGACGCTGGGTTGTGAAAGTGACATGTTACGAGTATTCCCTTAGAATGGTTGTCAGGGGGTAGAGTAATCACTTTGTAAATCTTTATGATAACTACTTGTCAATTACAGACATTTACAAGAGGCCCTGTTTAGGTTTAACTTTATCCTGTACTGATATAGCATCAAGAGTAATGAAAAGAAAGTTGTTGTTTTTTAGTGTAAAAGTAGATCTACATAAGATAAAGGTATCCATGCTTTTGAGATAACTATCAACACTGGAAGTATTTGATATAAAAGTCGAAAACGTTTCACAACCTTTATTGTGCCTCATGATGAAATTGAATGGTAATGGGATATATGTAAATTTTGTGTGTACATGGACACCACAGTGAAATTGCTTGTGTCACCAGAAGATGGCAGGATTTTGTCCCTCTTTGACTTTGTGAACTAGATTGAAATACTTTGAATGTGTGAATATTGAAGCAAAATGATTCGGAGACGCTTTAATTTTGAGTTTTCTGAAGAAAGGCAACATTTCACTGTGGTAATTTTGCGAATGAGTGGAAAACCTGTTCATTTAGGTAAGTGGTTCTTTTTCAAAATCATTAGGGTTTCATGTTTTACTCTATATTGCTGAATTAATGTTTAGCAGAGGTACAGTTATATTTTCTTTCACACACTATGTGGCTTGTTTTCACATACTTATATTCTTCCTTCTTTCAGATTACAAATTCAAGAAGGATGAGATCTTCAAACGGATGAAAATCTCGACCCTGATACAACTGGTGAGTTTCCCATGTATAACTCTACCTGGAATTAAAGGGGAACTAACGCCCCTTTTTGTACCTGCCAGCCATAATTAGGTCACCCATTGGTGCCAGATTTCAAGTTGCTGTCAGAATCTTTACAAAATGTTCAACATCGTAACTAAATGACCATTTGTATTTATAGTTCTGTAGTCTAATGTGTGCTTCAAAACATCATTGTTACATTTCCATGTGGTATTAATACTCAGTACTTCTTGTCACCTTGACTTGTAACCCTGACTGGCTTTTAGTGGATAAAACAAGGAATCAGATTCAGTATACTGTGTGTGTGTGAGGTATTCATGTTAAACAGTGGCGTGACATCTGTCCCGGATAACTTGGTAGAACCTGTATTGGTCTGGACTAGTAAGAACAAAGACAGCTCCACTCACTCAGTCAAAACCTATTTGACCTCACTGTTCGAGAATCGAATCTTTCATTCATGAATACAATTTACAGTGACATTGTTGACATTAGGCCTTCGAGTAACTGCGATACTGCAGACAACATTTTAACTATTTGAGGGGGGTAAGGTGGTTTACACACTCTTGTTTGATTCATCACCTGATGTTGCTGGTATATTGCTAAAACTGGCATAAAACAATACTATTTGAGTCAATTTTGCTGGAATTGCTAGTTAAACCCTGCCCAGTGCCCCTTTAAAACCTTGTTATAAATTGATTAAATCATGAGCAATGAAAAAATAATATGATAATCCAGTAACAAAAGAGACTATAGAATTGTGGTTTTTTTAAAATACCCCAGATTACACACGCACGCATGCACACACACAAAATCCTTGTTGGCACAGGGGCGGATACAGATTTTTGAGAAAGGTGGGTGCACAGGTAATCTTCACCTGTTTTCATGAGAGTTTCAATGGTCATTTAATAAACTTTCAGGACAAAAGGGGGAAGTGTGCACCCCTCTCTGGATCCGCCTATGTGGCCAATTTGTTTTAAACACTGCTGTAATACATGTTGTTAATGGTGTGAAAATGCACTGTTTGTTTTCAGATTGTACAAATAGCAAAACTTGAAACTGCCGAAACCAGCAGGTCTTTCGGTAAGTATGGGGTATAGCATATGCCCAGTGGTTAAGTAAAGCTCCACGTAAGAATCATGCAAAATCAATAATACTGGATAAGTCGAAAATCACGAATCTAGAGAATGACAAAATTTCAAGTGAATATGAAATTTTGGACTTATCCACCTCTGCATGATTCTTAGGTGGAATGCTGCTTAAATCATATTCTTGAAATTGAAGTTCACCATTCTGAGACTGTACACACAACATATGCATGTTATACTGCAAGCGGGATTAATTCTTTGTAAAACTTTTGCTCATTGATTCTGATTTTGCAAAATGCTCATATTTCCCAGATGAGACCTCAATGACATTGCATCAAAATGCCAATTTTCCAATATCTAAATCTCATTGAAGTTGCCATTAAACAGTGTGTTTATTGTCATAGATGGCGACCTTGGAGACGGTGATCGTCCAAGTACGGCTGACCAGGAGGTACAGAAGATCTGTGATGGTGAGGAATCGCCTCCCACTTCATCTAGAGAAGGAGCAGAGACCAGCAGATCTACCTTACAACAGTGAGTGCTAGTTATCTCCCTTGGTATACTGGTTTACCTTACAACAGTGAGTGCTAGTTATCTCCCTTGGTATATCCATGTCTACCTTACAACAGTGAGTGCTAGTTATCTCCCTTGGTATATCCATGTCTACCTTACAACCGTGAGTGCTAGTTATCTCCCTTGGTATACTGGTCTACCTTACAACAGTGAGTGCTAGTTATCTCCCTTGGTATACTGGTCTACCTTACAGCAGAAAACGGTAGTTATCTCCCTTGGTATATCCATGTCTAACAGAAAGCACTAGTTAGTTGGTGATGTCACTACTTCTTGATCATCTTGTGCAAACAAGCAGTGTCCACACTTGAAAAGGAACTCAGTTTATAACACCAAATCTTACGCTTAAATTTCTTTGTTTCTTGTGATTTGTGTCATTGTTCCAGTGGGAGCAGTGAGCTTTCTGTGACAATAATTTCATCACTGCTTACAAAGAACACAAGTGATTTGCTCAGTTGTTTACATACTTTTTTGTTTTTCAGTGTGATACGAGGAGTAGGGGAGATTGATATGGACAAACCCCCACCCCCACCCCAAAAACTGTTTGTAGATGACATGTGTCCGTATTTGTTGCTGGATATCAGAGATGAAGATGCCTATCATCAGTGTCACATCATTTCAGGTAAATAGTCTCCCTCTTCCTTACAGGTAAACAGTTGCATACTTCATACATTTAAACAATCTCCAACATGTTTTTGGTAAACAGTTGAGGTAAACAGTCTCACATCATTACAAGAGAACAATCCTTCACATCGTAAACAGTTGAGGTAAACAGTCTCACATCATTACAAGAGAACAATCTTTCACATCGTAAACAGTTGAGGTAAACAGTCTCACATCATTACAAGAGAACAATCTTTCACATCGTAAACAGTTGAGGTAAACAGTCTCACATCATTACAAGAGAACAATCCTTCACGTCGTAAACAGTTGAGGTAAACAGTCTCCCGTCATTACAAGAGAACAATCCTTCACATCGTAAACAGTTTCATACATCATACAGATCATTATAGTTACGTACATCATTACAGGTAAACAGCTTCTCACATTTCATATCATTGCTAACTTTCTATAAGGAAACTTCAGATGTGTTAAATTTATGATTTGTCAATATGCTTTTGTGCTAAACTTGTGCTATTCATGTAGAAAAATTACCATGACTCTTTAGGGAAAGGGAGATAAGCAAAAGATCATGAGTCAGGATAAGTATAAAATATCAATTTTACTTGAAAATCTACATGTTTGTAAGATCATTGACATATAAAAGCAAATACTTACACTTGCAATAAAACCTGTTACTAATTCAGTCAACTAATAATGGAGAGAGGTAATATTTAACATCATATCGACAATATCAATATTGCACCCAATTTTGTTTCAATAATGAGGAGGGGTGGTGGGTTAACCTAATGGTTAAAGCGTTGGCTCGTCATGCCGAAGGCCCGTGTTTGATTCCCCACATGGGTACAATGTGTGAAGCCCATTTCTGGTGTCCCCCGCTGTGATGTTGCTGGAATATTGCTAAAAGCGGCGTAAAGCCAAACTCAGTCAGTCAGTCAGTCAGTCAGTAATGAGGAGGCAGTGGAGCCTAATAAAGCAGAATTACGTCAATAATGAAACCTTTGATTATTTTTTTTGCATACATGACACATTTGTTTATTTTTATTTTTCTCTTTGCAGCAAAGAGTTTTCCTCGTGCAAGGTTATCACGATCGGTGAACTACGAAAATAATGATCTTCTATCATATGTATCCTTTTCTAATGTTCACATCTCGAAACTTCCTCTTTGGCATCAGTTGATGTGATGTCATTATTGTAACCTCTGTAGTTATTCGGGGACAGAATGCTGTGCTGGCTTTAAGTGGCAACTGCTAGTCATGCTTGGTGACGTGGTTGATTGTACGTCATTGTACCCAAATACAAATACAGAATTGCTGATTATGTCAGTCACTGGATTGTCTGATTATGTACTGGCTGCAGTCATATAGATGGAATATTGCTGATTTTGCATTCCAACAACCAATATTATTGCAGCTCACTCTTGCTTCTACAAGATCGCCTATATCCAGTTTTAACTATCCTTGGTGTTGTGTTCCAGTTACCATGGTTAGTTGAAGTAGGATGATGATGCTGATAAAAACATCTGTCATTGTCATTCTTCATTGTATTTTCAGTGTAAAATCACCCTGTAGGATTCATATATTGTACCAGGTTTTACTGTTCATATGTTCACTGATAACAAAGTCAAGTCATTTTGGCTTTGTAGGATCTTATATATTTCTTAAATGCAGTTTTGTAAAAATTATAGATGTCACTGACATACAAAGAAATACATTTGTTTTTCTATTACATGGCAACATTCATGCTTAATTGTTATCACAAAAAAGGAAACAGATATAAAATGTGTGTGATTGTGCAAGGAGACTAAAGGGGAGGTAACTATGCTTGTTCTAGACTGTTACATTCTAGTGCTGATTCTTTATACAGATGGGAAGGAGTTACGTATGAAAATATTAACTGAATGCAAAATGTGGTACATGATTTCTTTAACGTGCCTCTCAGCGAAACCAGACAGGGAAGATCATTATATTATATGATGAAGATGAAAGGATTGCCCACGACGCAGCGACGACGCTTGTACAGAGGGGCTATGACAACCTCTTCTTGTTGTCTGGAGGTGAGGCATTTGTTCAGTAACAACGAAGTCAGCAGTTGAGAAATTATATTTATGATATTAAATCATAGACAATAGTTCAAAATAAGGGATTTATGAAATTGTCAATACTGTACAAGATTGTGAACACGGCTGCAAACCATCACCCTTCTATACATTCATGCTTTACGTTATGTAGTGCTGATGAAATATCTTGTCCATCCAATCACCCAGTGAAATGAGGCCATATGTATCTCTGAAGCCTAATCAACTCGTCTCCTTGCATGAGACTGCCCCTGTGGTCTATTGTGGTTCCATCTCCAGCCATGTCATACTTGAAGGAATGTACTTGTTGTTGCCTTGCCTGGCATTGGGAGTTGAGGGATAAAACAGTGTTCATATCCTAAAAGTGATCATGAAAGTCTGTTTTAGACCTCATGAAATAGTATTTTACAACCTCACATAGAGTTATTTAACAACCTTTTATTTATTGTAGTATTTTGTGATGGTCTTTTAAAAGTCACTCATATATTTGTGTATTATTTTGTGGGGCGGTGGGGTAGCCTAATGGTTAAAGCGTTGGCTCGTCACGCCGAAGACCCGGGTTCGAATCCCCACATGGGCACAATGTGTGAAGCCCATTTCTGGTGTCCCCCACTGTGATGTTGCTGGAATATTGCTAAAAGCGGCGTAAAACCAAACTCAGTCAGTCAGTCAGTGTATTATTTTGTATAAATGCTTAACCCAGGGAAACACATGTTGTATGTATCATGAAGTTTTGGAAATCATGTCAACCGTTTCTGCCAGCACCCCTCTCACTGTATGCAAACCACAGCTCTATTCGTTGGTTAACAATAGCGATCAATGAAGTACTGTGGAACATGTACAAGTATTGATGAAGGTGAATTTTTAGGTCTCTTTTTTCTGATTTATGTTATGATTGTTCTTTACAAATTTCAGGGCTCAAGGTTGCTTACAAGAATTACCCTGAGGGGCTGATCACAGGGACGCTGCCAATGTCAGTAACAGAAAAGAAACCAAAGAAGATAGAGCCAGCAGATCAGAAACACTTTTGTAGTGATGATATCGACAGATTGTCAATATACTTGGATACTGCCCTCAAGGACCAAAGTGTAGGAAGTGAGTATAACCTCTTTAACACCCTTCTATGGAATACAGGAGATGTGTCCAGTTCCCCACCCTTGTGTAGGGCATTATATTGTATATCCCATGACCACCATATTGCAGGTGACTCCATAAGATCTTGTCACCTTCATCAGAGACACTAAGGAATTTTGCCTAAGGACATACTTAAAATATAGGAAATTTGCTGACCTGAGTAACAATAATTGGGTTGGGGACATAATATTCTGAGGAGAAAGATATGCTTTGATACTTTATGCTTTTGTCATCCAGTCTGTAAGTTGCTATTTCCCTTTTGTACCATAGGGATGGGGTAGCCTAATGGTTAAAGTGTTTGCTTATCAAGCCAAAGACTAAGGTTCGATTCCCCACATAGATACAATGTGTGAAGCCCATTTCTGGTGTCACCCGTTGTGATATTGCTAAAATCAGTGTAAAATGCAATCGCTCACTTACTTCTGTACCATTCCTACTTAGGAACTATCCATGTCTAGCTGTTTTACACAAGTCACTAGAACCTTTTCTTTATCATGTCTGTAGAGAGTTTGCCAAAATGTCAATCAATCAATCCAGGTGAAATGTTCAAAGTTTAAACTTGTGATGTGGGTGTATAACTGTAGTGCATGTAATAAACAGATTATAGACAATTCTTGACAAATTGGAGGTTAAGGTGACATGTTTTATGCAGTTCATTTCCTATAGTTCTTAACAACTGTGAAATATTTGTATCAGTGTTAGTCCATCATATTTATTTTCCATTTATCTGAGTGCTACATCTGTTAACAATTCTTTGTTTCCATCCTGTCCAGGGAAAGGTTAGTGGTGATGCATACCAATATAACTGTACTGTTTACAGCTGCATGCAGATCATATGTCTTGTATTTACTACTGCTTGACTTCGGAGCATACACAGTGTAGTCAGTACTAATTCTTATATATTTGCATGACTATATTCACTGCTGTATGATGACAAGTGGTGAGTTATTGCTCATTACAGCCTTTATCCCCAAAGCCTGACATACTGGTCAGCTGACTTTGTGTGTTGGTGATTATGTGCCTGGATCTCAGGGTGTGGGTTAGAATCCCGGATAGGGATCAACCCAACAAAAGTACTAGAATCTGTACTTTACTGAGAAGGTGTAATCCCAAATATAACATGTTACACTAATAAGGCCAGTTGAAAACATATCCTTTTTCTCATGATTATTTTCAACAGAAAGTATTTCATATTGTTTGGGTTTTCTTCAATTAGTTACAAATCCTCTAGAATTAGGTTTTTGTTTATGTACCATTTGACAAGTTTTGGCCACTGCCTGAAGCTCCAAGTATGTATGTAAGTTTGGACCCAGCTAATCAGACAACAATGAATGACAGTGTATGCATAGGGTGGGTATCTTTGTGAAATTTGAGTTGAAAAAGTGAATTATTTCATACTTCTGAAAGCAACATAAAAAGTGCTGCATTTTAGTGAAGGCCATGTATTTAGAAACCAAGGATGTGTTTTACAAGCTCGATGTCACTTCAGCAGTTGTTCAGTATGCTGGACACAGACACACAAAGATGGAATGAAACCAACATGGTGGTCTCATCTCATTGTTAATCTATGTAATACTTCTGATATTTGAAGGAAGCAAATTAACCTTAAACGTGTTCTGGACATATATTTGGTGAGGTAATATTCATGAGCATATCCATCACTGCATGAGAATACAACCTGGCCAGATGCTGTAGATCCTCTCAACCTGCATCTTGCCTTTTAGGGCATGTGGTTTAGACAGTGGTTTAATGAGCCTCGATTTACTGTGCAGAATTACGTCCCTTGGACACACCTGGGCCCCATTTCACAAAGTGATCATAGCGCTAAGGTCATCGTAACTCCCATACTTTAACATAGAGTTACGACAGTCGAGGTGCTACAATTGCTTTGTGAAATGGGACCCTGGAACCTATGTTAGTGGCTGTGAATCCCGGCTTGCTCAGATTATGTTTTGGTCAGTCAGCAACGTTCTTGTGAGTTTCACCAAAATGGTAAACATCAGAGACTTGCATCAACTTTGCATTTCTTCCCAGATTTATCTGACCTAACGTGACTTGATTACTGTTCCAAGCAGTGTCAATCCCATCTCACATACTCAGCATGCCTTTGTCATGATACTAACACTGTGATCTGTCAGCTTGTTAACTTCCCATTCAAGGATTTGATGGGGACATTACTGTGACCATCAAGTAGAAGGATATATTCATAGAGGACCATGCATGTTGTAGAGATTCGTCAAGGCATCGTATAAGGCTTTTTCAACCATTTTTTAACCTCATGTGTTCATTTTGGATTGTTATGAGTCCAAAACAAGTGTTAACTGAATGAAACACTTTTTTACCTATCATAAGTAGCATTGAAACATAACTTGTATATGAGTGGGGATACAGGTCATGTGTCTTTAAATGTCAATTTTTTGGTTGAAATATCATCTGATGTTTTAATGGTTGCCAACTAGCCATTTCCTATTTTGGCATATTCAAGGCTTAAGTCATCCTATGATCAACTATAGTCAAACACGGCTGTGTTTAAATTGGATGTGTTGATCTTACGGGTTTTTTCTAGTATAAGTTTGATCTAATATTTAATAGTTTAATACATTGCTGATCTGAATTCACCATGAGCTATTCACCATCTTTCATGACAGGCTGGAGTAGTATTTTTAGAACAGGAAATCTACTGTTCTAAATAATTCATTCATGTTTAGTTAACATGTAAACAAGACATATGAGACATATTTATCTTTCCTGTAATTGATGTAACTGTGGATGCCATCATCAAGGTTTTCGTCTGTCTTTCAGGTCGGCTCTCCCGCGCCAGTACGACTGCACGGACGATCTCCCAGCAATCCACAAAGTCCAACCTCACATCTCGCTCCAACTTGGACCATAGACCAACCTTCAAACCATAATAAGGTATTGGTTGCCATAGTATACTTTGTGGTAAGGGGATGTGTTTGGGCCTCATGGTTATGGTGCTGGCCTGTCTTAAGGAAGACCCAGGTTCGATTCCTCACATGGGTAATTTATGTGTGAAGCTCATTTCTGATGTCCCTGAATACAGTGTGACTGGAATATTGCAAAAAGCACATGCACACCATATGCACTTAACAATGGATCATGCTAAGGTTTATGAAAGTGTGCAATACTCATCTTCACTGTGCAGAGATGCAGCCCTTGGTCAGTGCCAGTAACTTGATTGTGGGTTTGAATTTGTGTCCACCCCTATTAGTATTCATCTGACCTTTTAAGGTAGGGGGTATATAGTCATAGCAAGGAAATCTGTCCATCCATCTGTGTGAGGACATTTTTGTTCAAACAATATCTTGAAAACTATTGGTTGGATTGTTTTCAAATTTGGGGACCACCTCTTTTGTCTGAAAGAGAGGTGCCATGTAAATTTTGATTGTAAACTTTTTCAAGAATTACAGTAATTTAGAAATTTGAACTTAGAAAAGTCTGTTCAACCATTAACTTTCAAATGTCCCCCAGTTTGTCTTGGACAGGAACAGCCCTGAGATATTTGTTTTCGTAACTGGTTCAGCTTTAATTAAGGTCGGATTGTTTCCAATGGCCTGGAACTAGATTCTAGGTTTAGACTTTGAAATCATAGGATTGAGGCCTATCTGTCATGGTTAGCATTGGTAACTGGCAGGCTGATAGACATCAAAATTATCCTTTGCTATCTGGTGCAAGCCAGTCTCCTTTAGTGTTGACCATTAACAGAACATGCTTGGAACTATACATTACCTTGTTGTCTTTCCAGGAATCTCTCTTTAAGGAATTGCATTAAATCCGTCCAATGACATTCAGTCTCACTCTCGTCAGCTCAAAGGTCAAGGAGAAGTCAGTAGTGAGCAACATTGACTTGTTGCCCATCTCTCTGCTCACTCAGGTCTGAGATGCCCTGGGAATCAAGGAGACTGGTCTGATTGTACCCTGTGTGGTACATGGCCTGGTTGCCATGACAGTCAATTGTATAGTAATTATATTGAGAATGTTTAAGCAGAATGTGTCAGTTCAAGCCTGAATATTAAACGGTCATGTACTTAAACAAATTTAATTAAACTCAATTTAATTGTTTATTGATGGGAATCCCATAACAACTTGTTTATATTTTGACACAACAGACATGATTGTATTTTGTTGTAATGGTATGTAACTTAGTAGAACTTCGGGTGCCATAGTTATCTCCCCTTGTTAATGAGGTACAGTCACATCTATCACTCAGTGTCTTGTTGAGCATTGGAGAGCAGTGCATAAGTGAGTTAGTGTCATCAAATGTATATCATTCTGTCACAACAACATCTATGTTGTTTGTCAATTACCCATTTCAGCAAAGAACAAATGGATGCCGTCAATGTTATTATCAAAAACAGAATGACATTCACATTGACCTTTTTAGGCATTATGTTTCTACAGCCTCTTCTTTCTGCTCTCTGATAAAAGCTTGTCATATATCTCTCATTTCTAAGGTGATTGTATTCTGTCCAAAATAACATTGCTGTGAGATTGATAGTCATACTGAACCTAGTCCGGCCATGTTAATTTGTCCTGGATGTAGCACATTAACCAGACATAGTACAACAAATGTACGACCTCAGTATAAGTGGAATAATATTGTTTGTAGATTAAACTCAACTTCTTTTCTTACCTGATAAGGGTAAATCAAAATATCCCATTGAATGAAAGTTGGACATATTTTGTTTTTCATAGATAATGATTTGAAAATGCCACTTAAAGATAATTATTTCAATTTCTTCAAGTTACTGAGTTTAGCATGAGGATGATTGGGTATACGGCTTGTTTGATGGCTTGTGATGATTTCTGTGCTAATCTAACACATTACAGGTGAATGTATTAATGGTTGGTTGTCAGTATGTGAATGCATGAGTGAATGTTTATTTATTGAATATTGTTTAATAGACATGTAATTCTAATTGATTTTATGTGTTCTCAGATTGAGCATTTACCAATATTTAGTCAGTCTAGTTCTGAATAATTTAGATATAGTTTCAAGTCTATGTTTATGTATAGACTCTGATTCTGGTATTGTTTATTTCAGATAACAAATATTGTTAATGAACATTTCTGAAGGTGTTTGTATCATTTGTTTGGTATTGTGACATTAGAAAACATCTTCGTGTAAAAGTAAAAAGAAAATATTTTCCTTTTGTAATCACGGTCCAGGGTGAATAGAATGCAGCTGGAAGTGTGATAAATTAACCCCTTATTTAACTTTTAGCATATTTCTTAACTTTTACTTCTGTGTGAAATTTATCAAGTGTATCTTCAAAGGGTTTTCAATGGGATTTAGGTTTTATGCTTTTGTTAGAAGTGGTAGCTTCAATACATATGTTGTGTCACAGCTGTAAGTATGTTCGTATGGAATAAGATTCTGTATATAATTTAACACCTTGAAGTAAATCCCTCATTCACATTTATCGATAGGTTATCTTGGGGTAAGTTCCCATGTGAGGGCAAGTTTGTCTGTATCCTTTCCCTTGCCATTATTGGAACCATTGCTCTGCCTAAACCATGGGTAATTAGTGGATCCTCACCCTTATCTTCCAAAGAAGAAGACATGTAAAATTCACCTCTGTATATATGACAATGCCGTACATAACAGGAAAATTAACTGAAATGGTGAATCATAATGACATAGAATAACCATCCATGTACCTAAAGGCATGCATTATCATAATGGAGGACTGTATGTGGAATATGGGTTATTGTCAATGATTATGAAACACTCTCTACTTAATCAAACCAGAAATACCTTGGTGTTAAAGCAAATCACAGACTTAGGCTTTAGAAAAGATACAGAAGGCATCTTGTTTTATAACCGAAAGATATATCAATATAATGGAGATCAAGAAAGTTTATGATCAGTTGAAGATGTGTTTTGGATCAGTATAAATGTATTTGGTGTTTCAGTTCCATGGTTTATTGTCATTTTGTGATATTTTTATTGATTTGTGAAATATGGCAAATGGTGACTTAATATCCCAGCAGACACCATGTCCCATGGACCAGTCCTGTTGAGAAGTGTAGATTTGTTGACAGAACGCTGATTTTGAAAAGTTCCTTTATGAAACTTTGTACAACTATATAAATCAATCAAAATAAGAAAGAGTTTTATGAAAATGACTGACTGACCAAATGGAATCATCTCAAGAAAACATGTCATGCCAAATATAATACAAAAATATTGAATATTGTTTTGACTTGTGAGATGAAATATTTGAGCAATAGGGGCGGTGGGGGTAGCCTAGGGGTTCACGTGTTTTTCAATTCACTGAAAAATGTGTGAAGTCCATTTCTGGTGCCCCCTGTCATGATAATGCTGGAATATTGCTAAAAGTGGCATAAAACTAAAACTCACCCTCCCAGTTAAACAATAAGATTTTAAAAGTGTGGTTTAAGATATAGAATACTGGTTTTCTATTTATTTACCTTTCATTGTTTTCAGTGTTTTTGCTTGGATTCTCTACTGTTAATCAGTACAATGTCTGTTGATTTAATGATCTCAAGTCTCATCAAGCACTGTGTATGTAAATGTGTCAAACAAGTCTCATCTGTATAAAGTATTAAAAAATGTTCGATTTATGTACCTGTTCCGTCAGTGGTTGTTCTGAAATGGAATCAGAACGTCAGCTGGGTTTTTTCACCTTCCATTTTACCTTTTGCAAAATGGCTGTTTTGTTTGACCCAGTCAACTGTGATATATGAACGTCTACTGAGGGTTTGTGTTTTCACCAGCAATCAATGTCAACTAACAACTATGGTCACTATTGGTTAAATAAACTGTTATATCAACATATTCCATCCCCTTGTTGTGTGTTTTGACATAGGCTTGTTGGTTGTCGTGGTTCAGTTGGAAGGTGATCTGAAGGGTGGTTGTGGTGTCATGTACGAGTCTGACCACCCAAGTCTGTTAGTCACTTCTTATGACAAGTATTAGTTGCTGAAGATCAGTTCTAATCCAGGTGTTCACTGGTCTTCTGTCTGACGGTACACATTACCACATTCTGAATACAGCTAGTTCCATAATGGTTGCTTGGTACTAGAGGATATGCCCATTAACATTGCATGAAATGTCTTTGCAGACTTGTATATTGTAAATAGTAAGCAGGGGTGGAAATAACTTTAAAATTGCTAGTGTACTCCGGAACAGTGGCACATGTAAAATTACTTGCCCTGATAATTTTTCCACCATACCGGCCGTTTTCTTGTTGATTTTTAAATAAACAGCATAATTAACATTGGAAAGTCAACTGGACACCGGTACAGTGTGATATACAAATTTGCTTGCCCGACAGAAAAAAACACTGGACTTGGACGTCGGGCAATGGGTTATTTCCACCCCTGGTAAGCTGACCAGCTTCAGCAGCAGAGAGTAAAGTGATGTCATTTGACTATGATGTCATGGTAACAATGACATTGTGCAGCATTGTGCTGCAGCTTCAGTATAGCTGTATTTAGTATTGCCAAGTGATATCTCTGGCGGAAACCTGTTTTGACAGATCATGTTTATTTTATTAAATTGTGAGATTTTAACAAAGTTACTTATTATTTCACTTGGACTTTGCAGAATTCACATCAGTAATACCTTGTTGCCTGTCCCCAAAACAAGCAGGTTATAAGAAACCGAAATAGCTCGCTGGCTGAAACTGTCTCATGTTTGCTTAGTGAAATTAGAAGGTCAGCCTTGAGTTACATTGACATTTCCTGCAGTTGTGTGGCGCTCCATGTGTTAGACGAGGCCCTTAATTACAGAACAACGCAGCTCAATACCGACTGTCAGTGTGATGAGACTGAAGTCTGAAGGAACATCGGTCTCTGACACTTCCTAGGTCTACAAAAATATCCTTGTGGATTCACAACTGAAGAATTCTGCAGTTTATCATTAATTTCATCACAGGATGGTAGCTTCCTTTTACACATTTTAAGCATACTAAGGCCATACTATGTTTTTTCATGTTTTACAGACAGCTTTCCCTAAATTGTGTAAATAAAAACTAAATGAATAAGAAATTGAAACAGTAATGATGGAAAAGGTGTTTCTGAGTAACTTTTTTTTTTTCTCATTTTTTATAATTTCCAATTGGCCTATCAGCATTTGTCCCATCAGTATTTTTAAAAAAGCCATGTAATACTAAAGTCCAGGAGACCTTTATAATGTTTAAAAATTATGATTTAATGGGCCTTGACTGAAATACACCAACAGCACTAAACAGATTATTCTAGGTCACTACAACCCCATTAGTTACAGACTTCATTAAGTTCGAACACTCACAACTAAATACATAAAGCAGGACCCAGTCTGAACCCAGACATATTCATCCTGTAAACCAAACACTGTGTCAAGGCATCTGTAGTGGTATTCTGACACTGCTTGCACTGCTGATAACCAAACAGGATTTTTCAGAATTTAATATAAATAATTTTGAAATGTTCCATGAAAGTAATAATACACAAAAAAAATCACTATCATGTGTACAATGTGTACCCCACTCTTCACAGCTGTTTCTTTTTTATATAAAGGGTGCACTTTACTAAGAAAACATGGTATTTGAAAAACATGGATGTCAAGGCTTCCTTACGAAATGCAGTGCTCGTCATTCAAAGCTTAAGAGATTTTGTGACAAAGAACATTGTGTCTGATTCATTTGAAACAGTTTTGTCGCAATCTGCACTTCTAAATTTGAGAGAACATGTACATGTGTGTTCCCTCAGGTCAGGTTAAAGGTGATGGTGGGAGGACAGGCAGACACCATCTTCCTCCATTCAGTGAATCACATCAGCTAGACAAACATCTCACTGACACACCAAGCCTGTCTCCGCATCGCTGCTGTCGATCTCACTCCCACCTCTCATGGCCGAATATTGCGGGGATGTTTATATGGCTTGCAAATCTATGCTCTAAACAAGTTCATTTTTTTATTCTTTTCAACAGGAATTTGATTTATCAGCAAAATGAAAATTTGTGTAATTTTGTCTCTGCCCATTATTTTAAGAGTGTCTCATCAAACATAATGAATCTTACTAGGAGTTTAAAAGCCATCAAATATCAGATCAGCTGATGACAGGGTATTCATAATTTATGGCTGGGGGTGGGGGTCTATGATGATTTTGAAGGGGGTCACACATTTTGTTCTGGGGGAGGTAGGGGAGTCATAAATTTTGTACACATGGACTACGGGGTTCAGCAGTTTTGTACATAATAATATTTAAAAATTATGCTCAGAAATTATGGGAAGGGGTAGGGGAGGTCATTGATTTTGTACATGACATGCAGGGAGGTTCACTTGCTTTGTACATAAATTTTAGTGGGGGGGCCATTCACATTGTACATGCTTCTCCATAAAAATCATCATGACCCCCCTACCCATAACTTATGAATGGTCCCTAATTGCTGTAACTTTTGAAAATGTAATCAATTTTTCTTAAACCAGAGACTTAAAAATTGGGACATTTCTATACCAATTTTTACAAGCAATACAGATATAGCTTCATTTCAAGAAAACAAGAGTGAGTGAGTGAGTAGGGTTTTGACATTATTTCAGTTACATCACATCATGTTGCTTGATGGTGAGGGAAATCTCCACATGATGCAGGTCAGATATTGCCACTATAGTGGAACAAATGAGCTTGGATATTGGATCACTTGAAAATTGATCCAGGATTCTAAGTGACAATCACAGGTTTCTGGAACACCCAAGGGAGACAACTCTGCAGAGGAGTTCCTCAGATGACAGGGTCAGCTCCTCACTCTATAATACTAGGACCACCAACACTGGCAAGTGATATTTACATACTTGGCACATGAGCAGCTATTGCTGGTCTTAACTATATTTAATACATCCCCAGAGCATGGTATTTCATAACCAACCTTTCCATACAGCCAAGTGCTCAAGTGACACATTAATGGAACATATTTCACATGCACAGAATTCTTACAGCTGAGCATACAGGTCTTGAGTATCTGTTAAGTATGGTTATCAAAAACATTGTCTTATTTCACCCCTTAAATTGTTTGTAATTTGTATCATATTCCATTGTACTTGAGTATAAGTACTGACAGTCCAATGTGAAGCAACCTAAAATGAGAACTTTTCAAATCTTTATTGTTGAAATTGTATAAAATATGTATTTCTCGAACCATGCTGAATGAGATCAGAAAGAGTATTATAGTTGAACAGTAGACATTCTGAATAAAGGGTACTGAAATGCTCAGTCAATAATTTCCTCCAGCATATCAAACACAATTTATCTTATGTGAGCTGAAATTTCATTGACCACTGACCAAATTTTTCTCAGATTCACTTTCCATGTCATCATCACCAAAATTTTCACATAATATTTACCATTGTTAGCCAAAAAACATAAATTATTACACTGTACTTGTGAACGAAAGATGTGATTCTAGTATGATAAACCCTTTTAATGTCATAATTTGTCTTATACTGCGTTTCCCATAGCAAAATGACCTAAGTGTTTTCAATAAAGGTCCTCCCAGAAGGTCACGTGCTAATCCCGGGATATGTAGTTGCTGCACCCTGCCTTGCTGTGACTCACACCGAGGGAGGGACGACTCACGTAGCAGGGAAGACGTGACTAGGTTCATGACTAGAATGCTCAGAATCTACTGTTTCACAAATACCGTTAAAAAACATGTGTGTTTGGCTGCTGAGAGAGTGAAAGTTGACAAAGACGTTGATGACACATCAAGTCTGAAGTCTGACAATTTATTGCCCTCATTTGAAAATAAGTATTACACAGGAATTATCTTTTCTAAAAGCAGCTCAACTGTTGTGTTTTTATTACAGTCACAACATACTTTCTTGATTCTCATGCTATAGTGTCTGTAAAGTCAGATTCAGACAAGGAGACATGTCGAGGTTGCTTGTGTATATCAATTTGTTGGTTGGTTGGTTTGTTGTTTAACACCACACTCAGCAATATTCAGACATATGGCAGTGGTCTGCAAGTACATGTAATCGAGTCTTGATCAGACAATCCAGTGATCAACAGTATGAGCATCTACGCAATTGGGATACAATGACGTGTCAACCAAGTCCGTGAGCCTAACACCTGATCCCATTAGTCACCTGTTATGATAAGCATGGGTTGCTGAAGACCAATTCTAAGCCGGATCTTCAAGCATGTGTGTGGTAATACATAAAGTACATTCCTATGCTCAAGACACTTTGTTGTGACGAGATACAGGAACAATGTCAAGGTCATGAAATGATACATGATACAGTAAATGATAACTTCACAACAGCATTGTGTGGAAACACTTTCCAATATCGAAGAGAATCAAATGAAATCTAACCAACAGATTGAGTGGATTGGATTAACTAATGAAACAGTGGACTTGGACTGACTGACTGAGTTTAGTTTTACGCCGCTTTTAGCAATATTCCAGCAATATCACGGCGGGGGACACCAGAAATGGGCTTAACACATTGTGCCCATGTGGGGAATCAAACCCGGGTCTTCGGCGTGACGAGCCAACGCTTTAACCACTAGACTACCCCACCGCCCCCAGTGGACTTGGAACTCTTGTACTTACCGGTACATTATATTTGGCATTAATTTTCATAAAAATGTTCATGTCACCTTTGTAACTGCTTGTATCATCTTGTATTCATACCTGACTTCACGTGATATTTGTGTCACAGAGTGTTCGTGAAGCTGTTTTCACAGCCACATGTTATGGAGTATTTGGTTCTAAAATTCTAATTCCTTGCATTGAACAACAAATACAGTAACACCCACAAACAATATTCTAACCTATCTTGCAGTCTGTGAACCACATTATTTTCCCTTCTGCCTAGCCCTTTCTGCAATGCTAAAGCATTAAGTGAAGCAAGTCTAGATTTCCTCAGGTTCAAGCTCTGAATCTCCCATCTCACTGGGGCTCTTTTCAATTTCTGTGGAATTATTTGTTTCAATCAAAATTCTATATATTCAGGGACTGTGTTAGTCTAAAAATACTTTAGCAATATTATGGTTGGTACACCAGAAATTACCTTCTCACATTGTACCCTTGTCGGGAATCGAACACACTGACCCACAAACCCATCCAACCAAACATTCTACTTAACTATCTCTAACATAGCCTTGCTCCTTAGAGACTTGTGCAAGTCTATCTCATACATGACCCAGCAGTTTACCATGAGAGAGTGGGTATGATTTCACACTGCTTTTAGCAACATTCCAGATATATAACTGTGGATGACACAAGAAAGGGTTTCACACACTGTATCCATGAGAAGAATCAATCCTGCATCTTCAGCATGATGAGCAAACACTTTAACCACTTGGCTATCAAGCAGCCATAAGTTTAATATGAAGTAAACAAAGACAAAACACAAAAAATAATTTTGATATTTAATTCGAGCATTTCATTAATTTACAAATATTTCAAGGTTGACATGTTTAGTTTGATGATAATTCTGTTCACATCAAATGTAGGATAGCATATCCAGATTTTGGCAAATTTGATGACATGAAAATGTTGTGAAACATCCCACAGCTTGCAAGAGATGCTGACGTGGAATGACACAGTATGACATTCTGTGGGGAGCTCTGTCTTCATGTCCCACCACACATCGACTAAGCTTGTTTGTGTATGTACATGTACATGCAATTAAGTCATATCAAATTATACATTGCTTAAAAGAGCTCGTTTACAGATTAAATTTTTTTCACAATATCAAATTTAAACATTGAACATAACATAAAAAATAAATAGAAATCTAATTTAATTGTCATTCACCAAACTCTGTGGGAAGTTGGAATGCTATGCTGGGTGGGAATTTCTTCAACAGACCTGCAAATGAATAATTGAACAGCCAATAGTAGCTTTACTTGTAAAAAAATAAAAGACATGAACAAACTTCTTTTTCTTTACCCTGGGAGAAGTACAGATCAAAGACTTTGATTACTAAAATTATTACTATAAAGATATAAATCTGATGTATATAAATGTGAATATCTATATACAGTGTATATCTACATCGGTGTGTACACAAACAATATACAAATAATGTACATAATGGTCAGGAGCAGGTAAACACATGTAGAGTGAAATCAATCATGGTACATCCAGTGATGATCTGGAAACATCAACGTCAGTCACTGTCACTGAATCGTCAGACAGAAAGACACACACTTGTCATTACACATCAAAGCAACATTAAAAAAGTCTCAAAAATATTATCAAAGTACAAAAAACAAAACAAAAAATTCATATTCAGCAATATATTGTTGATTAGTTATAATTTTGTACATCCAACCTGAAAAAATATCTTAAATTTTTTCTGTATTTAAGTAACATAAAAGTTTTATTAATGCTATATTTTTTTAGAGGAAACAATTGATTCCAACTAATTAAAAAATCTGATGCTTATCTCAGAGTATGTCAGCATGATCATGTTTGCATGAATATATGTGCTTAGATAACACGGTTATTTGTGGTTCATACGACATCTATGGGTAAAATATAACATAACTAGATTCTCTGAGGTTCAAATATCTGTAAAAGCATAAATAACTTTACAGAAAATATGTCAGGTTTAAAAAATATTTGATCACACAAATATTGATGGATCACACATATAACGAGCCCATCATTGTTAGATCACACACATATACGTCAGTCTACTGCTACAGATAGTTGATAAGCACTAGCATCTGGTGGGAGAATATTTCTATGTGTTGTGTGACTGTACAGGTTGTGACTCTCACACAATGTACCTTGCCCGAGACTAAAGAATAATACAGTAAATTCCTGTACTCTGGACAGTTTCGATTCTATTGAATTCGTCTTAACAAATCTTTGCTATGGAGTGATAACCTTCATATATGCAGCCCTGAATATATGGATGTTTTAAATCCTGTGTTCACTTCAAGATTGTCCTGCTTCAGAGAGACAAAAATGATTATACATTTTCTCTGAGTTATATTTATTTCAAATTGAAGCAAAACTGAAGCACAAGAATAGTTCAGAATTATACCTTTCAAATTCTAAAAGTTAAGGACAACCATCTTCGGAATTTTGTCCTGAGAACAATTGAGTAGTCTTGGGTTAGCAGACTTAAACTTTGAGGCTGTACAGATGAAGATGTGTCAAACAGACAGTTCAGAAAGCAAAGTGTTCGGACTAATAAGATTTTTACATTTTCTGAAATTTGAAACAGGTTGTGGCAGTTTGAAATTAGAACAATAAATTCAGGTTCTTAAAAATATCGCATCAGTCATGATATTTTTCATGATTCGCATGTATGAGTTGGGACATGTGCAATGCGGCATGCAGGGAGGTCAACTTCCTGTTTTGTTGCAGGTCACAAGGCAGACAGTCACAGTGCAGTATCTAGTCCATTGATATATCTAAATACTCTGATATATACACTTTACACAATTCTGCTGGAGTGGTTGGAACGCTTAGACTTCTCTGAACGATGGGAATATTCCGAATATCTGTCCTCAGACAAGGGAGGGAATCCAGATCTCTTGGAGAGAGTGTCGCTTGCAAATCCATTCAGCTCAGCTGCAAGTAAGCACAAATCAACATCATTAATTGTATATGAAATATCACTTGAAAATAAGCCCAGGAATGAATTTCTAAAATATGCAATACACAGGAAATGTACAAATTGTTGACTGAAAGAGCAATTGCAATTGTCTCGCTATTTCACTTATTGCATCAGGTTCGTGAAAGTGAGTAAATCTTGTTAACACAGTTGGCAGATATAATCCAGCTATATCACAACCACCTGATACAACAGAATCTCTGCCCAAAACAATAGTGGTGGACTGTATGAGTACTAAACCACAGATATATCCCATATCCTACTCAGGGTCTGAGCTCTGACAGTCTCTCTGTCAGCCATCACGACTAGCATGACCAGTATATACAAACTATTCATCTTGGTATCATCAAGTTCAAAACACACACAGCAAAACGTACCATTACAAAACCCATTTACTAGTTAGTTCTACTGACAAAAGACTTTCACCAAAATATGTCAGATAGTATTGTCCTGAAAGGTTTTCTCCATTAGAACTAAAATGGCCGAACGTTGTTTCCAGCGACAGGTAACTATGGCAACATGAATGATTACCATTTCATAAACAATATACAGGCTACATACAGGAACAAAAGAAGGCAGTAACTGTTATTAAAAAAGAAAAAAATATGTTGTATTGTTGTGAATCTGAAAAGGTATTAGAAAATTACAACTATGAACATATGTCATTCCTGATGTGTTAGAAGCCATGTTGTTACAAAGAAACTCAAGATGGTGTTAGAACAAAAAAAGTGAATTTATTTATCTATTTGCACACACACACACACACACACACACACACACACACACACACACCTCAGAACACACACACACACACACACACACACACACACACACACACACACATTTTGCCTACCACATTGACATTGCTACGATTATACTTTTTCCAGACCAATACTATTGTATCTAATATTGAACTTGAAGAAAATGCTACACTTTATTGCAACAACCACCATTAACATGTTTTGACTTGTAAATTGTTCACAGAAAATAAGAAAAAAAAGATAATCTAAAAATCAACAAAAAATGTCCATGAATGTAAACAAGAAGACAAGAGTTTCCTTGTTTCTCGATACCATGTACCCAAGTCCAAGTCCGAATACGGAGAAATTTGAGAGACAATTAACATTCTTGAATTGCGCCAGTTTGTTTTGAAGTCTGGTCACATCAATAGCAAAAGAGTCGCTGAAGAAAATGGCTGACACCCCAGCATTCCAGATAACCTTCCAGTGTTTGTACAGACTGAGTGACGAGATTTGCACACCAATGTGATCCCAGCTTCCTCAAACATAGAAGCAACGCTAACTTAGGGCCGCGGATTTCGGGGGAAATTGACGCACTAATAGCATGCAATGTATCACTTACAGAGACGACTGTGTTTTAAAAGACTTGCTTGTTTCACGCTTACATCAAGATCTAAAAACACCTTTGTCATGTTTCACATTTTGTGAAATGTTACCATGGTGGCCTTATTTCTGATTGACAGTATATCAAACTAATGAATATTACAGTATTTGCAGGCAGGCAATTATTGGGAACATAACAATTTTTGTACAAAATTGGAATGTTCATTTTCCTACATTCCAAGGTATTTCAGTCATGTAAAAACAGTGTTTAAGCCTTTTCCTCTTTACTGGACCTGTTTTCAGAGATATGTAGTTACCTCTCTCAGTTAGCTGTACAAAGCCAATAGTAAAAACTAGTTATAGACCCCCTCCGTCGTGTAGTGGTTAGAGCGTCTGCCCAGAGAGCGGAAGGTCGCGGGTTCGATCCCCAACCCCGTCATACCAAAAGACGTTAAAATATGGTACTTGTTGGTCCCTGCCTGGCGCTCGGCAATAATGGGTACAACAAGGACTGGTCGGTTGGAGTCAGTATAATGTGTCTGAGTGGGGTATTCATGCTTCACTGCGGCATGGTATCTCAGTGGGCTAGCACTATAAAACCAGCTTCAGTCTGGGCTAGTACAAGCAGCTGCACATACACATACACATGTATGCACGTCGTCATATGAGCGAAATATTCTCTAGTACAACGTTAAACCCAATTTCACCTCACCTCACTAGTTATAAATATACTATTCAATGTTTGCTAAGGAACACATTTTCCTCTGCAGATGACTATGTTGGTCCTCATCAAATGTTGAGTAGTGTAGTTATTTCTAGTGTTATTTTAGTTCCAAATAGTGTAATCAGTGTTATGGCTTTCATTAGAATGAATTGATCCATTTGTTATGTAGTTTAGAAAGTTTCACCATAAGCTGCACACTGACAGGGCCCGATATTTGAACAGGTCTAGGTAAACCCTTGTACCCAAATTTATACGGCAATATCTTCCTGCCCAGTGTTTCTAGTTCCCTCTTATCGCATTAAGTAACTATCCTGGGTTTGAATCCCAGATTGGCACTGATGGGATTATTGGTTTGTTAGCACCATGCCAGAATTTACAAGGCTTTCACAAGTCTCATGGTTACATCCACATTAAGTTGTAATGCTTTGATATAACTGAAATACCGACCAAGCAGCAGTAATTAAACTCCCCTGGGTCACTCTGTAACCTGATAATAACACAATTATTCCCTTTAATTACACTGTCAGAACACAGACAATAGTCCTTACATTGTTGCTCATAGAGTTGTCAAGTTTATTTAATAATTAGATTTATTCAAAGAAATCTGATCAAAAAAGGAGGTAAGAAATTGTGCAGAAAATAGGGTTAGCTATTTTTAGATATTAAAGTTAATTTTACAACAATATTTACTGTACAGGATGAGTTGACTAGGTCTAGGCATGTTGTCTCTTGGTATGGTACTCAAACAATGACATCACAATCAGACCTCTCATTAGCGTCACGACAGTTTACACAATAGTTTACACAGTATCAGCTGACTGTGTCCTGACATAGAGATCAGAATAGCTCCCGAATTAAGGATAGGTCCACCTGGCTCTGTAGTCGCCACTAAATCATATGGATGTACAGTGTACTGGCTGGTTATAATACATGTCTATCCCACTGGCTCCTCGGTTACTGCTATTTCTATACAGTAATCCTGTGTATGCATCTCCCAGTCATACACATTGATACTTTCTCAGTATTCACCTGGTAAAGTACTAAGTAGTCTTGAAACTTCATCACAGACAAAACAGAAGCTGTTTTCCATGAAAAAGGATCATGCAGGCCTACATTATATTATTGAAAAAATATTTTCTAATGTTTTCGGGGCAGATTATTTTGCTGCAACTGGAAATATTCGATAGAAATAGTATTGGTCTAGAGCATAAAATAATAGTAGCAAAGACAGTATGGTAAGTAAAGAAATAAGCTGATGGACAAAACAGAATTCTGGAAGGTAATTAGAAAACATGATATAAACACAAACAATAAATATTCCAACCATTATTTTATCCTAAACAGATTAATCACACAGAATACAAAAAAAATCCACAATGTAATACAGAGAAAAAAAGCATTTACTAATTACGTACTAACTAATCATTATTACAGCAAATCAAATAGTAGAATTTACTTTGGAAATTATGCAATTTTTAGTATTTAGGTAGCTAGTTCCATCTCTGGGACCAATCATTATGTTTGGTATTCTTACAATAATAGAGCCACAATAAAAATATCTTAGAAGTTTGAAATGAATTACATATCTTATGATATGATGTTGTATTTACCTGGAAATATAAATCAATAACTCATGGAGTGAACAATAAATTAGTTTATGTTTGTAACACCCTCAGAGTACCTCACTCATACCAATCAAAACTCATAAAGTTTCACTTGCACAGTCATGAATGTCAGCAAGAAAATGACCCAAAATAGAACATTGTATTTTCATGTTCAATATTGTAACATGTTTATCTTAAAAAGATGCAACAAAGTTGAATTTTTCATATCATCTACATTGTGGATGTCATAACAAGAATAACATAACTCCTCACAAAAATAAACCAAGCAATGTTAATACCTGAGAGGTGATATATTAAGAGATATTCAAGAATGATATCCTATTGTTATTGACCTACATCCATGCATGGTATTAGGTGATTAAGTTTCTGTTAGTTGACACTACAGTGAGACAATGATGTCATTAAATTTAGTTAGATATAATGCTGTTGTAGGTGAGGTGAAATAGGATGTCATGTCACATTCCAGATTATTGTGCTATACACAGGGATTGATGTTTGTGTGTGTGTGTGCGTGTGTGTGTGTGCATATGTGTGTGTGGTGTCTAGTTTAGACTAATGCTCATTTTATAGTGCTACTCCTGTACTCCACTGAGACAGCAACCACAGTTTAACACCAATGGCCCACTCTGACACATGATACAAATTCTTAGCCAACCAAACCAGGCCTTGTATTGCCCCCTTCAAATTATCTCCAGGCAGGGTGACAACAAGTAGCATCACTTAACATCTTTAAACATGGATCGGGATCTCTGAACCTAAAATGATCAGGCCACGCCCACTAACTGACTATTGTTTTCTCTTTGTTTCACAACAGAAAGGCCAGAGCTTGTGCTGTTTCCTTGCGCAAGTCAATGTCACCTTATTTCATATTGCAGGGTCATGGTTAGACCGAGAGGGGGGAATTTTTGCAGATTACTTTTTATGCATCAAAGTATTGATATGACACTCCTTTAACGTTGAGAGTGCCACCCCCCCCCCTGTTAAAAAAGTTAACTACGGCCCTGGGACTAGATTTTCGAAGCTCTCTTAGCGCTAAGATAGTCGTAAGGTAATGTTAATGTATGGCACTTATGACTGTCTTAGTGCCCTGTATTGTTGACTTATTTTTTGTGTTTATGATAAAATAAGCACCTGTGAAAATATTACTGTTGACATACTTAATAACGGGAATTGACTTTAATATAACATTCTGTGCTTATGAGTCAACATGAGGGGTTCACTCCACGTACACTGAATTATATCTATACCTCCATAAACACAAAATATACTGAAGTCAATCGTTAATCAAGCCACTGGACTTCATTAAATCCCATATAGAGTTAAACATGAGCATGAAAATATTGCATGACATACCCAGGTAGTATTTGTTTGTTTATGTTATGATTAGTTTGTCAGAACAGTTAATTACACAAAACTGAAAAGATACAACTGTTAAAGAAGTGATAATCATTCATGTCGGCCATAGTAACAATCCATTCTTTAACCATCTCGTCTCATCCAGCCAAACAGACACATCTAACAGAGATATTGTATAACCTGGTGCTCTGTGAGGGAGTGCTCTTTTTTGTAATTGTTTGGAATCAAGGTACAGGTTTTCAAGATTCATCTTGGTATCATCAAGTTCAAAACACACTCAGCAAAACATACCATTACAAAACCCATTTACTAGTTTGTTCTACTGACAAAAGACTTTCACCAAAATATGTCAGATAGTATTGTCCTGAAAGGTTTTCTCCATTAGAACTAAAATGGCCGAACGTTGTTTCCAGCGACAGGTAACTATGGCAACATGAATGATTACAATTTCATAAACAATATACAAGCTACATACAGGAACAAAAGAAGGCAGTTATTAAAAAAGAAAAAAATATGTTGTATTGCTGTGAATCTGAAAAGGTATTAGAAACTTAAAACTATGAACATTTGTCATTCCTGACGTGTTAGAATCCATGTTGTTACACAGAAAACTCAAGATGGTGTTACAACTGTTATATACCTACTGAGATTCTACTTTCCAGCTGAAATAGGAGTATGTAGGGAATTATTTCAGTGCCTCATATCACTGTATACTGGACAATAAAGTTACGGATCATGAATGTTTAGGGGAATAAGTGTATCAAGTTGTGTACTTAAATCTCTACGATGAAAACTATCCTCCCCAAAACAATGATCCAGAACTTTTCTTGTTCAGTAACATTCAGAAAAGGACATAATCCTATAAGATGCTTTAAAACAGAAAGGACGAGGAAAGATATAAGAGCTTCTCAAATGTCAAATTATACAGTTTAAGTTTAAGAAAAGTTAAAGAATTTTTGACATATTGACATCACAGGCTGTTCACATGAATGACATCAGGCCATTACTTTCAAATTTGGACATCACATAAATAAATACAGGTCTACATGAGTCAAAAGGACATCCTCGTAGACAGTAAAAAATATATTGAATCAAGATGCAAATTTCAGCATGTCTTTGAACTTCTTTTTCTTTTCTAAGAAAGACATATTGAGTCCGATACATGCTCATGAATAAACATTAGAGATTAAATGCTTCTTCTTTTTGGAGTGTTTTTTTAGCACTACATCTACATTTCATACTACTGCACATGAAGACTTACTAAACCAAAAATTGATAAAATTCAAATTTTCGTTCAAGTGACACATGGATATGTTTCTTCAATTCACTTTTGCCAGATCTCTACACTAACATATGGTCTACAAGAAGGTTCCTTAACTAACCTGAAGATTCTGACTAATGCAATGTTTTAAAGTATTGATTATAGGAACCATGAAGATATTGATGATACAATCTGTGGATTAACAAATGAAACCACTTACATTTCTCCTTCTTCCCATACACCTCGGGTAGCAGCTTAGCTTGTTTGGCTGCCAGAACGAACGCTAACGTAGCCAGTATCACAGCATCAAAGATGAGCACTATGGCAAGAATATACGCCCATCGGATGCCACAGGTGCCGATGTCATAACTTCCACTGTTGGAGCAGATGTCCTGGACGAGGCGGGAGTCAAAGCCGTTGGGGTAGACAATGCAGCCAAGGATGAGGAAGAGAGCTGCAAAACAATTTGAAAATGAAAAATTTGCTTGATAGGCCTAGAACATGTGAAAAATAAAATACTAAGAAGATCATCACAAAAATAATTTGTAGCTCACTGAAAAAAGGATATTTGCCTGGTTTGGATCTCAAATGTTATAGCACCACTTCATTCTAATGGATCTATTGGTCTGACAGTTTTTTAGAGTTTAAAATGCGTATTTCACTTTTAATGATGGTTTATATTTGTAAAAGATTTCTTTCATATAAAAATCATATTGATTGTTTTTACTATCAAGATGTTTTCATTCTAATGGATCTGTTGGTATAAGGAAAACCTTGTCATTCTGGTTCTTTGTTTGTTTATAGAGGTTTTCAGTCTTTAAGTTTTTAAGTTTGGCAGATTAATAAACATTAAATTACTCCGTCAAATTACTACGACTAACACTGTATGCCTAGCTGGTCCATGGATTTGCTCGGCTATCTGTGTAGGCCTAAGGTCTCTCAGTCATGTGTTTTGCATGAAAGTGTCATCCAAGTGGGATGCCTGTACCAAAACAAACACAGTTAGGGTGAAGCCTTACACTAACCATTGGCAACTATACACGAGAATATCGTCTTCTATTTCAAGATATGTGTTTTCCTCTGCTTCTACAATTGAGTTATCAGACACCTACTGATATAACTCACCTACCAGACAGTAACATACAATCATCAGACACCTACTGATATAACTCACCTACCAGACAGTAACATACAATCATCAGACACCTACTGATATAACTCACCTACCAGACAGTAACACACCTACTGATAAAACTCACCTACCAGACAGTAACATACAATCATCAGACACCTACTGATATAACTCACCTACCAGACAGTAACATACAATCATCAGACACCTACTGATAAAACTCACCTACCAGACAGTAACATACAATCATCAGACACCTACTGATATAACTCACCTACCAGACAGTAACATACAATCATCAGACACCTACTGATAAAACTCACCTACCAGACAGTAACATACAATCATCAGACACCTACTGATATAACTCACCTACCAGACAGTAACATACAATCATCAGACACCTACTGATATAACTCACCTACCAGACAGTAACATACAATCATCAGACACCTACTGATAAAAACTCACCTACCAGACAGTAACATACAATCATCAGACACCTACTGATAAAACTCACCTACCAGACAGTAACATACAATCATCAGACACCTACTGATAAAACTCACCTACCAGACAGTAACATACAATCATCAGACACCTACTAACTCACCTACCAGACAGTAACATACAATCATCAGACACCTACTGATATAACTCACCTACCAGACAGTAACATACAATCATCAGACACCTACTGATAAAACTCACCTACCAGACAGTAACATACAATCATCAGACACCTACTGATATAACTCACCTACCAGACAGTAACATACAATCATCAGACACCTACTGATATAACTCACCTACCAGACAGTAACATACAATCATCAGACACCTACTGATAAAACTCACCTACCAGACAGTAACATACCATCACCAAAGTTTCAGTTTCATCGATGCTGTAACTACCTCTACCTCTCAATCCCTGACAAATTTAACATGTGAATGGCTTTTAGAAGTGTCTTGTATGGGAAACTCACAAAAGGAGTACCATATAGCCAGGGGCGGATACAGCTTTTTTAGAAAGGGGGGGTGCACATGTCATTTTCATCTGAGTTTCAATGGTCATTTAATAAACTTTCAGGACAAAAGGGGGGGTGCGCACCCCTGCACCCCCCTTCTGGATCCGCCTATGATAGCAGTGTTTAAAACTCCAAAAATTCCAAGCTAGACAGCGGGAATGGTAACTTTAAAAAATTACCAGTCCAGATACAAACTTGCCTGTCCGGTTTTCAACAATAAAAACAAACAAAATCAGGTTAGTCAGGTTACTGTTTGTAGGCATCGCAATGAACTACATAGCACTAACAGCCAATGCACAGAGTTTAGGTAAACTGAAAGTACACGTGTTGTGATTGGTTATCGTACATGAACTGTCTAATCGTAAGTAGTTTAATATAATCATCATAATACCTTAAACATCTCAAACTGACGACAAGAGAACCTGTCTGCTATTATGAAATATTTACTGTTAGGGGTAAAGATATCTACCAGATCACCAGACAGGCTTCTTTTGAAATTTGACCGTCCAAGATGAAAATAGACCAATCGGGCAGGCGGGAATGTTACTATTATAGGTGAAAATAGTTACAAACTTTAGATACTATTCCATTACATCATCAAAACTGATGATGACAGAATGGAGATCTTCCACTGATGAGTTGAAGAATGTCCAGTTAAGGAGATATAGGTCCCGGTGACACCCTAAGTATTTACCGGACCCACCCTTGTCATGTATGGGCTGTGTGTAGAGACGCTACAAGGTATATCCAGAAGTCAAGGTTTCAAAATTAAGCCTTTCAGACACTCACGTTGTCACTACTCCAGTTTTACCTGACTTGATCTTCAACATGTTCAACACAAACAAAACCACTTGGTAGATCTCACTGTAAAGATGCCCACATTTTAAGTGAACTCTGACATGTTATAAATATGGGACTCCTAGAGGGAGGGTGTATAAAAAGATATTTCATGTTGACAGTGTTGTTTCCCTACAGAGGGAGTCACAAGACTCACAAATCCAAGCTTTTGCAAAAGAATTATGACAAACTAACTGTTTTTCCTGGACAAAGACACCTCTATATGTGGCAGTAATATGCAGGTAATCCTTCAAGGTAGCTCGTTTACATGAGAAGATTCCTGCAAATAGGGCTGTGAAAAAAACGGCCTCAGGTGATATATTTTTGGGCTTTTTTGTTTGATTTGAAAATTCCCTGTCAATACTGTGTAGATTTGATATGAGAACACAAGGCCAAACTTCAAAGGAGATAAAATTATCCTAATAAAAATGTAATTTAAAAGCAGCTTTGATTTTTTGATGGTTTGTTATGTGGGCTGATTTGTGTAAAGCATTAGATGAAATGTATGTGCAGGTTTTTGTTTGAGATGAAAATATGGGCAATTGTTGAGACAACATAATGATTTTGTTTGCCTGTTTTACTGCCTGATCATTGCAATCACAAACGTTCATATAATCTACATCGGAGAACACACAGGTAAACATGTTAAGGAAAAGAAAAAACCCAATGACAACATATTAGTTATTTGTTTCATGATATGAATAAACAGGTATTGATTTAAATCCATTTTTACCTTTTGTTACATTATTCATAAATGTTTATTTACAAATATATTTGAACAACAAGCTATTAGAACACAGATTACATTACACCTGAAAAAGGTTTTGGGTGTAACCAATTCAAAGGATATTTGTTTTACGGGGATTTTATTATTGTTATCTTACCTGAAGTTTGAGATCAACACAAACATTAATGCTAATTTTAACAAAGAATTAGACAAGGTGGTTAAACATTGAGTTGGCATGGGCTGGTGGGTGGTCATTCATAACCCTCTTCATTACTCTGCTTCCTCAAGTCAAATATGTGAAGAGATTACCCTTGTGACCTGTCTCAGTTTCACACTCATTAGGCCTGCTATATAGTTGCGACATCAAATTGTTGGTCTAAATTCAAAGTATGTTATCACAAACAGAGAAAAAGAAGAATTTTCAAGCTTCACATTGGTACTACTATTAATGAATGAACATAAAACTAATACTAATTAATTCCCTATTTTTTATTTACAAGCAATTTCAACAAAACCATTTTTAAAAAAAGGGGTCACCAATATTGGGAAAAAATGTGAAATTACACATTTAAAAATTGGACAGAATTCTTTTTTTTCAGAGTTTTCTCAGAAATTGTTAATTTATTTAGAATTACTACCGGTAATTAACATGATATAAAACTATTGTTTTGTCTCAATAATCATTAAAGTTCTGGGTTCCATGACTATACATACCCTTCTGTTCTAAGACATCTATTTTGAAAATTCATAACATAGTACTGAAATAGCACCTGTATACTTGGCAAAGGATTAAAAGGAAAAAATTTGGATCTAGTGTTTCTTGCCAACAAATATTTCCTGAGAAAATTTACGGAACAACAAATGGAGACAATACAAACTCACAAAAATAATGCCATTTCCTGATTTTTTAAATACACGGTAAAGATATGGTGACCGTGTGAGACAAACACCATTTCTGCCAAGTATAACAGCTTGTGTGTTGGAGGGTGATGTTCAGCACTGACTTAAAGCCCAGAGAGAAGAATGGGGGCAGATTACATGTAATCTACACAAAGCTTGCCACTGAACTTAAACATATATAAACACTAACATACACTTCGTCAAGGTTACAAGTGATAGTCTGTAATCTTATTGATCAATTACATCGTGTTCAATTACAACTTTTAAGCTTTTTGAAAGGAAGATACTACCTATTTAAGCATTTTTTACAACTAAAAAGTTAAAAACAATTTGAAAAAGTATATTAACAGGAATATTATATCATAAGGACACAATATATTAATTATTAATTTTATTCAAATTGTCATTTTGAAAACAAAATATTAAAGCAACTGGGTATTTTTTATTGTCAACAGCTGGGGTTTACCTGGAAAACAAATATTTTGTAGGTTATGTAAATTGTGTATTCATCAGCTAAGGATGAAGTGGACAAACAGTGAATTTCACATATCTCTGAAGGTACACTGACAACAAATTGATGTGAGGACAGTGTCGAGACAGGATGAAAATCGAACAATTAAGTTTTATGGCCTTACAGATATTGTTACCCACATTATTGACAAGAACGTAAGCAAAACTCCATAGAAACAATAAGGTCATGTGTAATGATGATTTCATGTATAATAATGATTTCAATTTTCACATTTAAACTTTAATGATTTTGTGTGTAATAATGATTTCATGTGTAATAATGATTTCATGTGTAATAATGATTTCATGTTTTCAAGGTATTTTTAAGATTTTGAGGTGAAATGAAGTTCATGATTATTGCACTTATATTGGTCCAGTTTCATGGTGCTACCTAATGAGATACCATGCCAGTTTAACAGGGATACCCTGCTCAGATACAGTAACAGGCTTCTCTTAATGCTGAGCTCTGGGTGTGGTATCATTGTTTGGTCTGAGGGGTCATGATATAAGTACCAACCTTCCCAGTAGATGATAAAGTCTATTACTGTTGGCATCTGAGGATACTGTGAGAATCTTGTCATGGTTCCTTTGTTAGGGCATGCTTCATGGTGAGTGAGTGAGTGAGTGAGTGAGTTCACGAGTTCATGAGTGAGTGAGTGAGTGTTTACTGGAGCAATGTATCACGATGTGTAAGCTTGATGTGGATGATAGCCTCCATCATTTCATTTATACATGAGAAAAGCTGATAAACCTTGGGTCAGCTGTGGTCACATAGGTTCACTTAATTTCAACTTAACCAAAAAGTTAAAAATGTTAAGAACTAATGCACAATTGGAAGGCTGTGTGTTGCATGATAGAATACCTACAAGCCATCACAGATCAGGTGTTCTTAAAATTTCATTAAGTGTGGAAGGCTGTCTGTCTAGTACCGAAAGTTTGGGAATCATGGTAATTTTGTAATATGAGTGAGTGAGTGAGTGAATTGCATACTTTGTTGCATTTATTTTGTACAGAGCTTGGGCAGCAGGGTAGCCTTGTGGTTCAAGCATCTACTCGTCACTCTGTAAAATGGGTACCTAACATGGGTAAAATGTGTGTCCCTCCTTGTCATATTGTTGGATATTGTGTAAAGCCAAACTCACTCACTCACTCATACAGAGTTTGTCATAGTAGTTTTGAAATTTTATAATCCAGAACAACATTTTGTTTTGTTTAATTATTTTATAATTTCACAATATAAATTATTTTACTCATACAAAACTATTTTACATATGGTGACACTGGAATGCATGCTGTGTGGGACAACCAATAACTGAATATATATTTTCCATTTCTTTCAACAACAGCTTGCTATAACACTATTTAATTCATTATTTTCAGTTGATCTTAATTATGTAAAATAACTAACAGTAAACATATATCAGTAATTTATTTTAAAAATCTACCACATTAAACTGTCATCGTAGATGTTTAATTATCAGATCAAACAATAGGTTCTTGGCTGTACAACAGGTAAATCTGTGCCAAAGTATCTCAGTAATAATAACAGTCCTAGACTTGAACCTTGTTTGTCCAGGTCATATTTCACGCTAAGCATCTGAAGCTAACGTTTCATCACTATCATCATATCGGTTCCCAACGTAAGCGACAACTAAGTAATATAACTAATTAATCAGCTTATTTTATACATATACACCCGAAATGGCGGTACAGGTGAACATCAAAGAAGCCGCCGACAGGTATGCCGTTATACTCACCGCCGATCACCTGAAGCCAGCCGCAGATTCTCAGAACGGTAGCGGTGTTCAAGAACAGGAACAGAATCAGACATAAGCAGCAGATGAGGAACAGCAACGCCGAGGCACCAACGAAGAAGGCAGCGGCTCTGAACGAACCATTCAGAATCGTATCAAACTGGATAAAGTCTCCCGTACACTCGAAATCATTAGCTCCTGTGTTCTCTTCGCAAGCTTGGTAGAGGCCAAAGAACCCAGCCTTGTTGCTTTCCCCCGTGTCCCCGATCCACTGGGGTTGAATAAATGCCACGATATTCAGAATGGCAAAACAAATGGTAAATATAGCCCATAACACTGCTACCGCACGTGAATTTCGAACATAGTTTGTGTGGTAAATTTTCGTCACCTCGGTCGAATACTCTATTTCTCTATCCATTTCGGCAACTTTGCTGTTTCGTCGCCGAAAAACTTTCACTAAAACTCACACGTTTTCGGCAACTATTCCAATAAAGTTTTCACCAAATCCAATCCAGGTGAACGGGGTGACGTTGGGTGAGGCAAGCTGTATTCAACCACAATTCCAGTGTTTTGCCCACCTTGCTTGAATGAAAACCAGTGTAATATTATTAGCTTCGAGAGACCGGTCTGACAGGTTTCAGAATAGCAGACAACAAGCCAGGTGAAAATGCTGTTTACCTACAACTGGTGTTCTAGCTGTTGACTTCGCCCGCGTCCGTCTGCTGGTCCAACAGGCGTTTAGCAAAGAATACCAGATTTGGTTCATCAATACATTTGTACTGAAATCTTCCACCACGAAACCAAACTGACAAAATATTACAGTAATTCATACAAACCATTAATAACTTATAATAACTGTGTGAGCTACTTTCACAGATTAGAGATGTGTGGACATTTGTCATTTAAACTTATTTTATAAAACACAAGTGAATTTACCCAGCATGTTAAAGAAATTTAAAGAATTCAAATATCCATACGGCAAAATCAAAGTACTATCATTCGTTATTATGTTCAAAATACAATTGAATTACACTCCTAATTCCATTGCATCATAACCCCTAGTGAAATTCTTGGATCTCATACCAAGTTTGATTAATACAATAAATAACTGACTTTAAAATATTTTGCGTTTAACATTGTTTCCTATGACAAAAACATCTATTATTTTCCTTAATTACATGCATAGAATGATGTCATCGAAAAACTTGAGCTATTATACTTCTTTTTATATTTCAAAACTGTCAATTTGTAAGGGAAACATCATTCAATGTATTCCTTGTAAGAGGAGGTAGTTGGCCGGATGCATTTACACCTTTTCTAAAAGCGTTCTATATCATCCTCGTGATTCAGGGCTAAATTTTCAGTGATCAGTTCATATACTTTCGACCGCTATTTTGCCTTTTACGCTCTCGTTGGATAAAAGAAGACTTGATATTCTCTGGCGTTGATTTTTATTTAATCGAAAGTAAAGGTTATAGGTTAGGTTGTTGTTTGAAGGTATGACGTAACGGTATGGCGAAAGTGAAATGTAATAATATGCTTGGTTGTAGCAGAGACCATATAGCGATATATGGTCTCTGGTTGTAGTTCACAGTGCGTTGAAAAAAATAATCACTGGAAGTTATTCTTCAAACACGTAGAGTGACACACGTTCTAAAATTAATACATTTTCAAGATATTATATTATGTTTGGTTACTATATTCTCTTGTAAATACTCGATATTTCATTTAAACACAGCCCAACACATTGTCATACGTGAACGATCCACTTGAAGTTCATACTTGAAACATAACTAGTTGTCCTGCTACTATGATGAAAATGTCGTCTACCTGTGACATTTGCAGCGTGTGTACGGAGCGGTACCGTCACGCTCAATTCAGGACCGTAGGTAACACACCTCACGTTTCGACACTACTTAAATACAGCAGTTCAACTTCGTGGCACACCTTCCCGAAGTTTTAAGCAACAAAAATAAAGTTGGCATTTATTTTTTTAATACTGAACATTTGGGGCCATGTTCAGACTATTTCTTCGGCGGGACACATATTTGGAAAGAAAATAACCGTCAACATTGTGCAACTACTATTTTTGTTTTCTCACCAGAGTTATAAAAGGCGAATAAACATTGATACAATATATTTACGACGCAAACTTTCAAACTGTGTGTGCTTATAACTATCAGGTAAGAGTGAGTGAGTGAGTTTAGTTTTACGCCGCTTTTAGCAATATCACGGCGGGGGACACCAGAAATGTGCTTCACACATTGGTACCCATGTCGGGAATCGAACTCGGGTCTTCGGCGTGACGAGCGAACGTTTTAACCACTAGGCTACCCCAGGTACTCAAGGGCCACAGACACTCTCTCTCTCACCCCTCTTTGTCAAACAGTTAATAAAGTTTTAGCAGCAATCAAACAAAAGTGGGTGTATACTTTTTTTGTCCGTTTACGAAAGAACCAGTCAGACTACAAAATTCGTAAACTTTTGCTAGCAGTACACATCAAGAAGATAGAACCCGCCCTCAACAGGAAGGATACTACATGCTTACCATCACTTGATAAAGTAACCAATAATAATTCTTGTGTACATTATCTGTTTCAATTCAACTATGTACATCAACCCCATCCATTGTATAAACATCCACCTAGCTTCCTTCGGTTGTATAAGCTCTAATTCAGTCCTTGTAGGGGCGGTGGGGTAGCCTAAGGGTTAAAGTGTTGGCTCGTCACGCCGAAGATCCGGGTTCGAATCCCCACATGGGTACAATGTGTGAAGCCCATTTCTGGTGTCCCCCGCCGTGATGTTGCTAGAATATTGCTAAAAGCGGCGTAAAACCAAACTCAGTCAGTCAGTCAGTCCTTGTATGTCACCCTACTGGCTTCCTATCAACTTACTCAATCTCTTATACAATCGTTGTACATCAACCTCATTTATTGTAAAAACAACTCATTCCCTATCTACTGTAATAACAACTCATGTATATATTCTCTCAATTTGTTACTCATGTATCACTTGCTTGACAACGACATTAGAACCTATGTCGAAACGTCGCCTCCACAGAATAAAAGTTTTAATATCCATAATAATTTTCATTATTCTTAAGTCCATGTGCCCTAAATGAAAGTTGCTTTCTTTGGGTGAATAAACTTGTAATACACGGACGACAGCGTGCATTATCTCATGTGGCCTTTACGTTAGCATCATGAATTATTCGAATTATATGATTGGGTCGACAAGCATGGGTACTGAAGATCAATTCTAACCCGGATCTTCATCGGTCATGCGCAGTCTTGGTCACTTGTTTGATGGTGTGTCATCGTCCCCTGATGACGTAAGACTACTAATGAAGTTGCTTGCAATATTAATCACGGGATTATCTGCTCTAGGCTATGCAGATTACACATATACAAAACTTCCTTTTTATGGTATAAAAGCATTTCGCTCACGTTACATTCACTTCAACGCCCCGATGAAGCCGTCAGTTCCCGCGTTAATCATGAACAAGGATGCTACAGTCGACCTTTCTTTTATGTGCAAATGGTTGGTGAGTGGGCTACGGTATGTGTAAGCTCCTCTCTAATTAGAAACATGTCGTTGTGGCGTCTCAATCTCATCACACTAACAACGATGGTACCCATTATCACACGCTGCTAACTTCACATAGAACAACGGTGCCATTGTAAGCTTTCTATGGGTTTTTTGTAACACACTGGCAATAATAACTTGGCTTCAGCCAGGACTTCACTATACCCTGAAATACAGCATCCAAATGGCGCCCAACGTGTCGTGAAACAGGCATCGTCGTCTATATCAGCGTGTTCCACTATTTGTTTGAACGTCCATACTCAGAGGCAAAAGTTCTGTGACATGGACTTTTCATTAGTAGTCGTGTGAATGAATTCTTGGATTTGAAGCAGAGAAAGGGTTTGATAACGCAATCAAGCAGTTGTTCGAACTGAACGAAATTCGCAAGAAACATATATATTTGAGAGAAAAACGGACCAATAATATTCACTTTAAAAGGCCAGACAACCAGACGTTTATTATTACCACTCAATGCAGTCGTAAAAATGCAGAAGCCCATATTCATCACTATTCATCGCTCTGGAACAAGTTCAACATGCCACACATCGGGGACAAGGACATATTGCGAGCTATAGGTATGTTTTAGTCTGGTACCTGAGTGTGTCGTTGCTCGTCGATTCATCGTCCACAGAAACACCACTTGCGTTTGGGTCTTATGGCGTCATTTTCAAGAAAACAATCATGTTATGAACCGCCCCCGTATAGTGGTCGTCCACCAATAACGACCCAACGTCAACACCGGTGGAATCGAACTATGTACCTCCGACACAGGTTCCAGCCAGCAACTCATACAGAATGTAGAATGTACCATACTTGGCAAGAGAGGTGCATCTCAAGACAGTTCCATATGCGTCTATGGCATCCGTGCAAAACTCGGCAGCCAATTCTGGCGCCGGGACGTCGACGTCTATAGTGGTGCAGACACCACTTGCGATGGGGAAGACGAGTGGAGAAGAGTTCACTTTGCCGAGAGGGGGCGGTAGGGTAGCCTAGTGGGTAAAGCGTTGGCTCGTCACGCCGAAGACCCGGGTTCGGTTCCCCACATGGGTACAATGTGTGAAGCCCATTTCTGGTGTCGATCCCCCGCCGTGATGTTGCTGGAATATTGCTAAAAGCGGCGTAAAACTAAACACATTCACTCAATCTTTACCGAGAGTCATGTTTCTCATCACCGCGTTAACGACAGGACGCGTGTCTCCACGAGCAGAGGCGAACGCCACATCAGTTCATGTGTGGAAGGGGATCGCTTTGGAAGTGGAGCGTTCTCCGATGGGATAACAGCTGCAACAAGGACGCCACGTGATTGAAGGAAACTTGAATGCCGTGAGGTGCCAGGACGCCAACTTTATCGTTTTTGCAACAGAAGGGCACTGGAGTGACGTTTCTATACGATAACGCCAGACTACACGTTGCTCAAGTTGTGCAGCAATATCTTAATGAGAGCATTCTTGATGTGTTACCCTGGCCCGCACCGCAAGGTCCCCTGAAACCAATGAACACGTCTGGGATGAAACGGATCGACATTTACGACGTCATCTGTTTCCCCCAACAACGCTGCGGGAACTCCACCAACTCCTTCCTCGGATATGGAATGTTCCTCCCCAGGCATATTCCATCGACGTTTAGTGGCCTCAATGAGGTGAAGGTGCCAGACCTGCATCAATGCACAAGGTGGACACACTCGCTACTAACCGCGTGAACCCTTCTTCTGCTGTGGCACAGTTCCATATGCCAGTTCGTATGGACTACTGATCGTTACCATTCCTTGAAACATTTGTCTTTCCATGTAATAACATTTCATTTGCAGCAGTAACAGTTTAACACTGATTCTGTGTGTTGTTTGTGTGTCACAATACCGTTTATCTTTGAGTATATAGTTATAGTCATAATACTTCAACATAAAACGGGCGGTGGGGTAGCCTAGTGGTTAAAGCGTTGGCTCGTCACGCTGAAGACCCGGGTTCGAATCCCCACATGGGTACAATTAGACTAAGGCTTAGTCTCTGAATATATATAATT